CCAAGAGCTTGCCCTGGTCTATAAACTTTTAGCATCATAGACCGCAACTGAAGCCGAATCAATCGCTTATCTAAACTTACCTACTACTTGGCTATTTATAAAGTAATCGGACGCCTTGGCATTATTAGCACCTATCCCGATGCTAAGCGTCCGAACACTTTATAAATGTCCAAGTAGCTAGTTCATTTGCTACGCAGAGTCCACAACCCTAACCCACAGGTCTTCCACTATAACTCTTGATTCTAACTCTCCACAATGAAGTGAAAACTACTGCAAAAGATTTGCTTATTAAGGGTAGCTTTGGGACATGAGGAGGTGGTTGGAGGGGTGGGTTATTTTGTTTTTCAAGAGGGCACGTTGTTTTTCCTTATGGTATGGGAGGGTTAGGGGTATAGACTATCCGCATAACAAATGAACCCGTGAGTAGAGCTGAGTACTAAGGGTATTCAAAGTTACCGACCATGAATTTACATTGAAAATGGCGTTGAAAATCAGAATACACTAGTGGGGAAGACTAGCTAAAAATGGCTGGCTCAGCATTATTTGGCAAGTTGAAGGTTGACGTTTTGAATGGAGGGCATGAGGTCAGTTCCCAACCGGCGGTTGAAGTTGGCCCCCTCTCCTTATCAGCTTCTGACATCACAATGCAACAGGTGACCCACGACCAACCCCAACAGACAAACACCTTCTCCAATCCGCACAACTTACTTCTCATCTTTTCCAATCACCTGTGGTCCTCTTCTTCTCTTGATTTATTTTACTATCTGTCTTGTTTGCTAAATTCTTATCCATCTATCATCTCTCTCTGTCTGTTTAAGTGCTTCTTTTTTTTTTCATTTTCCAGGCCCTTTCTTCTTTTTTTTCCTTTTTTTTTCTCTCTTAATATTTGAATTTTATTTCTTTTATCTGTTTCTCATTTGACTAACATAATGGAGTCAAACAGTAGAGATTGGACCAAGTCAGAGATGGAGAAAATTGTACTCTGGCTTGAGGATCCAACTAATCTCCGGCGAACTCAAAAAGGTTCTGGCGAAACCAAAAAGCATTGGATGAGGGTAATTGCATCAACAATCCCATCGCGCTCCGATGCTCAGGTCGGATACAAATTTGACAATTTGAAGAAGTCTTACCGTGAGACTGTCAAACTGGCTGATCAATCAGGATGGGGGCTTGAAGAGAAGGATCTTGGTAATGGAAATGTTTCCTCTTTACATGGTAAGTCATGAAAACTACAATATGTGAATAGAGCTAACTATAATAATATAAAAATACAGAAAAACTTGAGAAGAAATGTCCTTTCTTTGTACGCCTAGATACAATTTGGGGTTCTCGACCCAATATTCGTCCTCCCAGTTACTTTGTTTCCGGTCCTTCCCACGATCAAACAAGAATTGCTGCTGAAAGTCTCGTTCAAGCACTTTCTGCTACCCAAGATCCAATTGTAGTAAATGACTATAATGAGGATGATTGACAACTACCGGGGACTCTTTCTCAATCATCATCAGTAATTCATGACAGGTAATCTAACTTTCTTTTTTATTTCTTATTATAGTGGTTTTTTAATTTCTTTATTCCAATAGAATTTATTTCTTTCGTTCTTATCTTGTACAATTGCTTTTGATCTTACATATTTGTTTTATATCATTTCAATGTTTAATTAAGTTTTTAGAATTAAATCTTCATATTATTATGGTGAACTGAATAACTTTGAATTTCACTATTTAAAAAGAAGAGTGACTAACGACTCCGATTAGAGAAATTGAATTCCTACGATACGATCGTTCTTCATCACTCATAGAAGAACCGACTACCGATCAAACTTTAGGAAATTGGGTAGAAAATGACCCAATACTGCACCATCCAGATCCAATCACCACCGAGACAGAGAGAGGAAAGAAATATGGGAAAAAAAGAGAGTTTCCCGTTCCCGAGGACGAGGATGCTGAAGATCGGAGACGTGAGAAGAAAAAGCCCACAGCAAGTCTTGGGGATGCTATTTCAATAATGGCGGATAAGAAATACGAGTTTCTGGAAAGGCAACTGGTACAGTAGGGGGAGATTCGAAAAGAGGAACTGGAGTTGGAATGAAAAAGAGTAGAAATAAGAGAGAAAGAATTGGAGGTAGAACGTAATAGGTGGAATATAATGATGGAAAGGATGGTTGGACTCCAAAAAGAGCAGGGAAATGGTTCGCTTCCATAGGACTTGGAATAAGGATCGTTGAGGAGTAGGAATTGTATGTATTGGATGGATAAAATGTATGGTTTGGATTGATTTGGATTGGAAATTGTCTGTTGGATAAGTTGGGCTTGGATGCGGTTTAGTGTTCTGGTATATAAATATAGTATATCAGAAGTGAAATCAATATCACTATTGAATAAGAACTGGACTTAGATCCTACCTAATCTGCTTGATTTCGATACAAATATAGGCGCATTCGATCTCTCCACTCCATTCCTGCCGCTCTCTCACCATCCAATCTCGTCTTGAGGGATTGCAAAATGTGGCCTGTATATTGTACTATCTTCTTTCTCCTGACTGAGAAAGTTATGTAAAACTATACAGGACAATATCCAGCAAATTGCTTTAGTGTGATCCTCTTTCCGGCGAATGTAAAGAGGTAGTTGTTTTAGGGATTGGAAGCGGTTCTTTAGTGCACCAATTGCATGCTCAATCTTGACCCGAGCATGAGCATGCCTCCAGTTATAGGACTTGTAGCCATCAATAGGCTGACTAGCTATTGGCTCCTTATAGGGTGTCATACAGTGCCTGGTGATTCGATAGATTTCGTCTCCTAGTAGGTACTCATCGGGCATCGAAAAGAAATAACCTGGAGTCTGGAAAAGAGGTGTATTTCCAAAGGCAACTGGATCACCTACGGAAGCCGCATATCCAGCAGAGGCAAAGGTAAAATATAAATTATTATCACAAACAACTTGGATATTGAGAGCATATACCTTTTTCCGGTTCATATATGTCTCCCCATGAAAGCTGGGTGCAAACATTAAGCCGATATCTGTTCCATCAAGAAATCCAACACAACCAGGAAAATGGCTCTCATTTTCTACCTCCGCTCTCATTACCCGGTATTCATGGGATCCAGGTTTTGGCCAAATTAAGTACTCTGGAAGTAGTCTCAATAGTGCTGTCATTACTCGATATCTGTACAAATAGGCTGTCCCCTCTCCAATTTGAAGCTGCTCAGAGAACCGAACTGTTGAGTTTCCAATTTGTCCAAGAATATAGAGCGTTGTTGCTAACTGGAGTACTGTATCTACTTGGGGGTTTTGGGATTGGTTTTGAAATATTGGATCAAACTTGATTCGCTCGTTAAGAGTATAAAATGCCTTACGGCTCATTCGAAAGAGGGAACGAAAGCGATCTTCTGATACATTGATGAACTAGTTACATATTAACAAAATATCCCATTCAAATCTACATTCAATCAGAGAGATATTTTCCTTAACATACATTGGACCAAAAGCCGAACCCACGGACAAGAGGTACTCTTGGAGCCAGATACCGGATGTTTGGTATTGCCACCAAGAGCATTTCACACAACTCTTGAATATCTTCGGTAAGAAGACTGTTCTCCGGTTCCTCCTCTTCACCAAGAGCTGTACTTATTGCAACCACGGGATTTCCAAGTCCATTCCGTTCATTTCTCAACAAAGTTTCTTCCTCTGTACCAGGATTAAGGCAAAGGTCAAGGAGGAGCGAAACGCCAATCAACTCGCTTGACTCCTGGTATACGACTTGTTTGAAGGAGGTTTGGGGCATGGGATAATGTGGATCGTTGTTCAATGCGTGTGGCTTTTGGTATCTGAGAAGTAGGAATATGAGGCGAGTCAAGAATCTATGCATATCGCTCCGTCATCTACTTGAATCTACATATATGATTGAGTTGAGGCTAACTCAAAAGGTAGCAAGTTCCACACAATGTTCTTGGCTTCGGTTTGGCCACACATAGTATCCTCAGAGTTCAGGCTACCATCAGTTTTCATTGATAGATTTGATTGGCTAATTTATCCTTAGTGCAACATGTGATAGTGGCGAAAACCTTTGACTCAAGTCCACCGTTATTAACTTTGAATACCCTAACTGGTGCTCCAATTTTTCCCCGCTCTGGGCGCCTTTCCTCCTCCACTCAACCCATGGTTCTGTTTTCCTATTTCTAGGTTCCGACCCATACCGGTACCGTATTTATAAGAGCTGGTGTGCACCAAACCCTTAGCCCACTGCTGGACTCGAATACCACGGTTAGGTTTCCAGCCCACAGCAGGATAAGCACCGAGGAACTACCGGTATTCATTTAAGCCTCTGGGGTTGGGCCTACGTTCGAGCATACCCCACCCTATCCACCTATTCCTACAAGGTGGCTCTGGGAAGGATAGTGGTTTTCGGCATTCCGACCAACAACAAGGAGACGACCATCTCCGCTCTACACAAGCGAGGTATAGCTTGTTCGCAAGGTATCCAACCTTCCAATATGGCTTCCCAACAAGCTGAAGGTAGTAACAAGGTGATGGATGGGTGAGTATTCCTATCATTCTACATGCTTCTTCTAATACTCTTCCTAGGGTTAGCCAAGTGCGATCCAATATCGAAGGGAACTTCAGCGGGAATACTGGTAACTGCAATGTCATTGGTAACGGCAACATTATCTGGAGCACGCAGTTGCCCCACCATATGACCAACCTAGGAGGGGCAAATGAAGGGCAGGCATGTAGAGCTCGGGGCGGAGGTATAGACATTTCTCCGCGGATTTTTTGTCCGGAAGCTAACGTGCTACCACAACCGAGGGAAGCATCCGGGCCATACTGGATGGTTCCATATTGTAGGAATGGCGCATTTACTGGCCGCGAGAGTGTCATCGGATCGATAAAAGAAGTTTGCAAAAGTGGGGCCCATAACCGAGTCGCACTCCATGGGTTGGGGGGTTGTGGGTATGTATTTGGTGTTACCTTGTACTTTGTATGAGGTTTACTAATGTCGCTTAGAAAAACCCAGATTGCTCTAGAATACGTTTACCGGCGTTCGAGTGAAGGATGTTGCCATGTTTTTTGGGTGCAGGGAAGTGGGATATTGAAATTTACGGAGGGGTTTAAGGTCATTGCGCAGCATGTGCGAATTCCTCTAGCGAGCGTTGAGAGGGACGAAGATGAACTGCTCCAGCGGGTAAGGACATGGCTCGAAGGCCCTGATAGTGGGGACTGGATCTTAGTTATTGACAATGCCGACAATGATGCCGACTTTATTGGAAGCACTAGCCCCATTGCCAAGTTTGTTCCACAAGGGCGTGAAGGAACTGTCATATTCACCACCAGATCTCGGCAGGTGGCGATTCGACAGGGCTGTAAGATTATCAAAGTTGACAAGATGGAGCCGGAAGAGGCCCTGGAGTTGTTTTCAAAACGATTTGATAGCTGGCACAGCTTGGGAGAAGAAGAAAAAGAGGATGTTTCACGGATCTTAGACTCGATGGACCACCTACCGCTGGCTGTCGCGAGTTCAGCAGCTTTCATGGCTGAGAATGGGACATCACCTTCTGTGTACTGGACTATTTTCCAGGAGAATGATAAACGAACTAAAGAGCTGCTTGCAGAGCAGTTTTACGACATCCAACGAGAGGTCGACACGACCGAAAGTATCTTGGGTACCTACTTTATCACCTTCGACAGAATTACGGAACAGATGCCCTTGATGGTAAAGCTTCTCGCGCTACTTGCATCCCTTGATCGCCAAAACATACCTGAGGAGCTGCTGACTCACTCCGGACTGGAGGGCATGGATGATTCGCTTAAATTTTGTCAGGCAATTGGGAAACTATTGAGGTTCTCATTGGTTACCGAGGCCAAAGACGAAGGCACAACATTTTACGAAATTCATCGCTTGGTCCAGTTCTCTATTCAGGCATATTTATCGGTAGAACAGGCCAATGAGGGGAGGACTGCAGGACTGCAGGCTATTTCGAGGCTGTTCCCTGTGTATGAGGACAAGCGGCAGAATATTTGTGCAGCTTACATGTCTCATGCGCTCTTATTAACTAAAGATTCAACGGATACCATTGCTGAAGACCTTGTCTATCGCGTGGGACAGCATTACTTCGAAATGGGCTCCTATAATAATGCCGAGATTCAAGTACGCCAATGCCTTGCTCTTCGAGAGGCCGATAAAGAACGAGAATGGAGGGGTGAGAGCTTCTCTCGGATCATGCTCTTAGGAGAGGTGCAACGGCGTCAAGGAAGGCTGAGAGAGGCAGAGGTGATATTTCTTAAGGAGCTAGAGGAAGCGGAGAATACTTCCGGATTAGACCACCCTGATACTCTGACAGCTGTCAACAACCTGGCCCGGGTGCTGCGAGATCAAGGGAGGTACGAAGAATCTGAGGTGATGAATCGCCGTGCATTGGAGGGGTACGAAAAACGGCTTGGATCGGACCACCCTAACACTTTGATGGCTGTCAACAACCTGGCTCTGGTGATCTGGAGTCAAGGGAGGTACCAAGAATCGGAGGTGATGAATCACCGCGTATTGGGGGGGTATGAGAAATGTTT